CACACACACACACACACACACACACACACACACACACACACACACACACACACACACACAGAAAACAGCCAGAACTGTGGAGTGTGACAATGGCTTTTCTCATAATTGTTTTCTGACCATAGGCAAGTTTTTTTAAAACAGACAACAAGTCCCCATGGATGAAAGAGGAAGAAAACAACACTGTGTTCTGCCATCAAAAGAAATCTCAGTCTTACATTTTACTTTGCATTTTAGAGGCTCATTTTCAGCATGATGGTGAGCCCATGTTGCTTGTTTATGAAGATTCCACTATTGGCTTGTGAACTTTTCCAACACTAAGAAAATTACAGTAAGCCCTCTTCCAAATACAGTGTATGTAGGACAGCAAATGGATTTCAGTTGCTTAAGCAAACTGCCATGACCTTTCTGGATATTTGCTGCAGGGAACATTGCAGAGTCATTCAGAATGATGTCACAGAGGAAGGTTTAAGTCTGGTATCCCTTCATGCTTGGCATGTGCCTGAAAAATCTAACTGGATGCTTCTCTTTTGTTCCAAATCAAAAATCAGGCAGGCATCATAAATAAGAGTGAATCAGTCTTTCTGCTCCCAAATCCAAACGTGTTAATCTTTTCCTTATTCTGTCAGTTCTGATTTAATTTGAAAGACAAGGAAGATAAGAAAACAACCTAACTGAGGTTGACTGTATTTTACTGCAAGCTATGGTACAAAGGTCTAATGCAGTGGTCTCCAACCTTTTTAAGGTGAAGTTCACTTTTTGAAGGAAAGGGCAACCTAGGATCTACTGCCTCCCCAGCCCTGCCCATCCTGCCCCCCCTGGCCAGCAAGTCAGTGGGGAGGGGGCAGAGTTGGATTAAGGTATACTGGGGCCCTAGGCAAGAGCAAAATTGGAGGTCCCTCCCCCCATGGGAGCTGGGCTGCAGGGGGGGAAGAGTGGCCCCTTCCCCTCCTAGTGCTGGCAGGAGAGGCTGGGTGGACCCCACCAGGCGAGGGGGCACAGACCTGCAAATTCTCCCTGCTCCCCACCCCTGCTATGGTGAAATGTACACACACACACACACTCCTGCACACAGGCGCACGCAGACACAGGCGCGTGCACTGTACTCTTACTCTCTGCACATGGACACAAGTACACAGACAGCCACACACACACATACACTTTCCCCTCACAGGACCTCCCTCCTCCCCCACTCTCAACCACACAGAGGCAGCCCTCTGTCCCCCTCACCCCCACTGTGAGCCACCCACAGCTCAGTCTTGCTCCCCACCCAGCTCCCATTACACTGACCTGCAGGGAGCTGTTGCCCAACTATCCCATGCAGCCATGCAGATGCAGAGAGCTGGGCTGGGCTGAGAGTGCCACGCTGTGTCTCTGTGGGCAGGTGGCAGCACTGAGAGGAGTGGCTACAGGGGAATAAGATTAATTTTGGAGGGCTATAGCCCCCAAGGTCCTCCCAGTGCCACCACCTGTAAAGGTGCAGTGCAGTATGATGCTCCTGGTCCGGTCTGGCCCCAACTGCCCCCCCACCAGGTGGGACATGGCTGTCCCAACCCAGCTTGGCCCCCTCCCCCC